AAGGTAAGGACAGTAACGTTTTAATGGTAAAGAAAGTTCAGCAGCGTCTCTCAAGGATTTTGTAATTCTATGGACGTACTCTTCGATGCCGACTGCAGAGCAATCATCTAGTGTAAAGCTATCGGTCATCTCTCTAACTAACTGCCTGCATGTACATACATCATCATCTGACACTTTGCTCCAGTTGATGCCAAAATTTTCTTCACGAGTTTTCCTTCTTCTAGGTAGTTTACCTTCGAAAGAGATGTTTACAAAAATCGGAAGATGGTCGGAGCAGTTTAGGTAGTGGTCCTCAATTATCCTGCGGTCCTTACGAAGTCGAGATTATCCTGTACAACGAGCACGTGGTCTATCAAAGACGTTTGTTCTCCATTGTGAGCAACATGGGAGTAAGCTGGACCAGTACTATTGTTTTGACTTGTGACTGACATGAGTCTACGTTCATTCATAAATTCGTCGATGATCCGCCCATGTTCGTTGGATTTGGCGCAATTTTTATCTCCATATCTGTTTGATAAGTGAGCATTGATGTCACCGAGAATTATAACAGGTCCATTTGAACTATAAGCGTCATACAGCTTTTTTATATGCTCTAGCACTGATCTGTATTCTTCCAGACTTGAGTTAGTTGACGGTAATAGTACTCCGATTATACGAATTCCAATGTTTTTGCATCTGACGACGGCGACTACCACACGATCACTACAATCACGTTCGACTGGGAACACAGGTAAGCCTTTTTGCCACAAAATCGCAGCACCTCAAAATCCTGCAGAGTGGGTTCTTTCTTCTGGTTCAATGGATATACGCTTGTCACAAATACTGTATGCATTAAAACTAGAGTCAATAGAGTTTAGAAAATGGATTCGCTCCGGAAGAAGCCAGTGCTCTACAGCAATGAAGATATCAGTGTCATTCAAAAGTTTTGACAGAGATGGTGTACCGTACATGATACCTCTAATGTTCCATGATTTTATACGCAGCATTATCTGGATATTCGCTAACGCGTATACAAGAGCCTAGAGACACTTAACCATTATAAGTATTGTGGTAACGGTCGCGTGAGTACTGGGATTGCCAAGGTCTTACCAATATACCACAAGGCCAAAAACCTTGCTGCAACGATTTCTCGTAATCCTCGACCCTTACATTAACTCTAAGTGTATATGTTGGGTTCTTTTGTTTCCAGAGTTTCCGAACTACTATGTGCGTGATATACACGTTACGAGCTTTTGCGTACTGTTTGATTGAATCTATAATCGCGTCGATTCCTCCTTCTGCTTTTACTCGTGACATCAATAATCGTTTCACTCGATGACCTTGTTTAACACCCCGAAATACGTAATCTGTTTCCCTGCGATCCTCACTATCATTGTTACTCTGAAAGTTTTTGTTCGTGTTGTTCAGTGTGTTCGTGGTATAGGTAGGATATTGTTTCTTGTGGTTTTGGGAATCTTTCACTATCTTTCACAAAGATGTCACAGGATGACTTCACTTTATCAGCATATGAACTAGAAGAGCCAGAATACTGAGATGAAGGAACAATATTAAGAGTCTTGAGTAGTGTGTTTTATAGTTCTTTAAGGTTACTAATTTCTTTATTTTTTTGTTGCACTGTTGAGTGTAGAGTTTGTACTTCTTTTATTAACGTTTCGTTTTGTTTCTTGAATGCTTCCGATAATTCACACACTTTGTCAAGAATTTCTTATCGAAACCCCACAATGATTGATACAAGTTCTGGAATGCCAGTAGCAGGGAATTAGGTCAAGCGAACAGGTGAGTGGTTAACGGTTCCATTTAAAGGGCTATTGTTACTTTGAAAGAGAACCGTACGATCAGCCGTTGGGCTTGACTGCACATTTTCATTGACACTGTATGTCAGTATGATGCATGGATATCATGAACTTGGTATTTTGAATATACATGAAATATTTTACATAAAATTTATGAGATAATATGAATTGTTTACAAAGTTTATTTTAAAGAAATTGAGTCCTGCTAAAGTAATGATTAGAGTTGTACAATAAATATACACTTGCATCAAGTAATTGGTATCTTTGATATATGTTCAACATTGTATTCTTTAGTTTCATGAAGTAATTTCACCGAATATTATCTGTTCATGAAAAATTGCTGTATATAAAAATTGTAAGTTTATTAATGTTACTATGTGTTGTGTCATTTAGTCCCTGCACAACAATAATGGAGTTAATGAGAGTATAAACTTTTACAATGTAGATATGAATTAATATTTTTTTTCCAGAGCAAATGTACTATAACAATTTCAGTATCAATATTCTTATCATACATGTAATCCAAGTCTTCATGTAATTACTTTATAATCAAGCTTATGCAGTATTCTAGATATCACAATTGTTGAGGCTTTAAACGAGCTGACCAATAAATGCAACAAAAAATGAAATACTTGCAAGTGTTTATACACACTATATTTAAAGTGCATCTATGATTTTATACAGATTTCCCAGAAATTAGATTACTGATCATGACCATCCAGAATACTTATTGATTTTTGTTTAGAATGACTTAAATTGTTTATTCTTGTAGATGAAATGGAATTTTTTACATGAATTTTGAAAGCACAGCTCTGTTACAATTTTTTTTGTATATCATTTACATCATTTTGTTTTGAAATAATGTTCATTGTATATATGAAAATTTGTGCTGAAATATTTTGACTTGATTATTTATCTTTTTTGGTTTTTTGTCTTAAAATGTTTAAGTTAATTGTATTTTCGTATTTCTAAACATTCAGAAATTGCTTTAAATATAAAATTTTACTAGCTTCTGTTACCTGTGTAGAATAGGAAAGCAATAACCTGCATAATCAGAGAGAAACTCCAGTTAACTCTATATAAATTGAATCATTTCATTTTCACCAGCATTGAGATATTTAATATGTGACCACCATTACAAAATAATCTATTGAAAATCGACTTATATATTATACACTTAACCAAGGTAAGTGTAAAAAAAAAGGGGGTCAATGGACAGCCTGTAAAGGGAGGTAAACCTACCTCTTTATAACATTACAATTTTTCCTAAAAAAGAGAGAAAAAAGGTGGATCACTATAATTTCTCAAGACTGGTCTTTAAAATTATTGATTTCAAAAAGATGGTAATCATTCAATTTTGGAATATTACCATCAAGTTTAGGTAATCTGATTCCTGCAGGTACCCCAAGTAAATGTTACTTATCAAAAATCCTTAAAAAATAATAGTTGATATTCAAAGTCAGAGTCTTTGACCATCATATAATTATTCACTTTCGGTTGAAATCTTTCCAGTTTTCGCTGCTGTAATGTATAGGAAAGATTCACTATAAAGTGAACTTAAACATAAATACAGTGTATTTCGTATTTTTCAAATGATTACTTTGATGTATTGAACTTTCCTCTAAACCAATGTTTTCACTGTTTACAATTTGCATCCATGTTTACATGTTATGTTATTTTGCATTTCTGTCACAAAATTGTTGCAAAATTGAATACTGCGCGTTAGCGCGGTATGATAAATTTGTCGGCACGGCCAGGTGTGTTATGGGACCGAAGACAGCCAAAAATATGAATCCAATGCTTATATTTACATTCTCTAATTTTCCTTCTTCATAACTGCTTATTTCGTTAATATTTAATGTGGATTAAGCGCCATTCAAAACTGACATGGTTAAGGGACGTAAGAGCCGTTTGTGACGTCAGATGACTTTGCAGTAAAACAACGCAAACAAACATTGCGAGCAAATTAAACGCACATTTATAGAATTTTTACGGTAATTTAACAGGATTATCGTTTTTAATTAAATTGAGTCAAAACATTGTACATTTTGGTGTTCCTAGATTCCTAGGAACACAACAGAGAGATTCCAGGCCCCAGCACTACTCATAAAAGGAAACTATCCCTGATGACAGATAAGGCCCAGAAGAAATAGCACTTGACTTAATAAGAAACTGCAGACCTACTTTGACTTTCCAGGTAAAGAAACGTTAATTCAATTTACAAATCTTATAAATCGAGATAACATAAAGTTTTACCTCCTTTTTCATGTAGAATTTCTCTCTCGATTTTCACCTCTCGCATGTTGGCCTCGATGAATTCTCCCGAGGAAAGCTGTCCGGACGTTTACGGATTTTGATAATATTTTATTACGTTTATCTCCAAATTCTTTAGCTGCAGATCTGTATCGTAATGGTTCTATATATTTGTTAACGCTACAGATCCTGTTGCAATTTACAGCTCAATATTTTTTGCGCGCTTTTGGGGAGAATTTCTTCACTTTCAAGCATTGGTCAATCAACTACCTTTCACTCCCTAATTCTAGACACAATCTGTAGCCAATATTTATATTTCATCCACCTTTCAACCATTTGTAGTTGTCTCTACAGGCAATAAAGTCGCTAGAAGTGAATTTTCAGCAATCAAACAAATAATTTTAATCAAGCGAGTTTATCACTTGTAGAAACGAGTAGAAAGGGTTGGGAGGTGTATAAAATATACAGAATGTGTCTAGAATTAGGGAGTGAAAGGTAATTGATTGACCAATGCTTGAAAGTGTAGAAATTCTCCCAAAGTGCGCAAAGATATTGCGCTGTAAATTACTCCTATTTTACATTACAAAGACAAATATATAATTAAAACCATAAAGCTACAGATCTGCCGCTACGAATTCTTCCAATTCAAGCAAATGAGGTTAGAGGTGTGTTATAACGGTAGAAAGAGGTTACTGTAAGTCGTTTGAATTCCACGGTGGTTAAATGTCACAATTTTTTTTAAAAAGTACCAACTGCGAAGGTTTTAATTTCATGCTGCAAGAACTTCATTTTAATTTTGTTTACGCATTTAAAATATTTTTTTTAAACGAGTGACAGCATTCACGACGGGTTAAATTTAGCGGGAAAAGGACGAATCGCGAACAAAATGAAATTAAAACAGCCGTGCTTAATTGCCAATATACAGTATTTTACAATATTTTGAAGCTGACTTACGACACCAGCATCTTCCAGTCTCATCATTCTTTAATTCGCAGAAACACTCCCGACGACAGTATGTAATAGATCCGCAGGATCTCATTGTTGTTCCTTCCTGTGCTATAATTTAATTATTGAACAATGTATGACAAAGAATCACGCGGCAAGGTAATGGAAACACATTTTAAAATAACATGTGAAAAACAATATAATGTTGATATGTTGATATTATTTTTATTTGCATGAATTTTTATTCCACTGCTGCCAAATCGACACTTAAATCAGATGTTTGTCACGTTACACGTCTAAATTTAGACCCAAAAATGTACGACTACAAGGATCGTTAAAGTTTAACGATATACTAATAATTGTTTGCTATGAATTGATTGTGTTTGGTTCAGGACAAATTTCTTAACCCGAAAAGTGCTAGAAGCAAATTCCTCTTACCCTGCAATAACATAAAGACTAACATTAATGTCACCCGTCATTTGATTGTATAAAAGATTTTATCCATTTTGTATAACATAGCTTGCCAACGTCAAAATGAGTAACGTTAAAAACGTATCACTCCGCTTAACGTAACATTTGAAATTGAATCAACGTGAAGCCTTATTCTGGGGGGAAATTATCTCATTGTCTGCACTGAAATTAAATTATAAGGAATGACGCTTATTTCAACTTATATTATACGATATAACAAAACTGGGGACACTTAATGCTTTTTTTATAAATCGTTTCGCGGTTTATAAAGCGTAAACTGCCCCACGTTATGTTATATCGTATAATATAAGTTGGAATAAGCTAATTCCTTAAATAAAATAGTTTTTAAGATATTGGGCTTTGAAAAATTTAAAACCAACCTAGATGGTGATTTATTTTAAATTTCAAATTGGGGTGATTTTTTACAACAACTTTCATCAATTTTTTTTAAATAAAAAAGAAATTTCCAGACAGAAAATAAAAAAAATATAATACATGGAATAATTTGGCGTTCGTCCAATAAATCCTAAAATAATAATTATAATGTGTACATTTTTGAGATGTGTCTCTAAGAGTTTGGGATGATAAACTTTCTACTTTTTAAACTTATAACAATAGATATAACAGTAAAATTTAATTATCAAAAAATTATCAAAATCTCTACCATAGAAATAATTAAATCGTCCTCGTTAAGCCATATACAGGATTTAAAAAATAATAATTAAAGCTCTATTTTGTTTTTTTTTCTCTAAAGTCGAACATCAAACTATACATATTGATAATAGTGAGTCTAATGAAAGAAAATCATGTTTATAATTTTTTTTTTGTTTTGAATTTGCATTAAATTTAACCACACGTTAAGAAGTAATAGATCTATAAGAATTATAAAACAATCCGCAATCTATCAATAAGATAAAATTCAGTTAGAAAAGTTCATAATTATGCATATAATTACTGAAGAAAAAACTTCCATATGTTATATCTTACTGGGAGAGAGAGAGAGAGAGAAAGAGAAAGACATAGAGAGAGAGAGAGAAAGAGTTAATTCTATTTGTTACAGAAAACAAGATTTAAATTAAAAGCAACTTACTCTTTAGCACAATTAAAAAGAATGGAAACAGTCTAAACATGATAAATGTCTGCGTCCTTCAATGGAAAAAAGGTCACCATATATTTATAGTTTTGATATGAATACCACGCACCGGTATTAGTAATAGATAAGATATTTACAATTGTGCGTCAAACATAACATCATATTTTGTTTTCCTCTCCCCTAAAAAGCCTCAAAAATATCAGTTTTATATCTTCAAAATTAAAAAAAAAAATAACTAAATCATTATAAAAACAAAATATTTATTAATCATAAATAAATACTGGAAAAATTTTATCTTTCAAGACTTCTTAGCACACTCGCTCGATATGGTGTATATTTCCAATATAAATTGCAGCGCAGTTAATTAGTGGTTACAAATGGAAATACCGGCGATTTTTTAAATATAAAGAATATATACTTTATTAGGATGTGCGATTCTTTTGAGGACTTCATTGAAAATAAAATATGCACTGTGGTTCAATTCTAAATGTTGAGTACATTAAGATTGTTATTTAGACTTGTCACATGATGTCAAAGTCACATGATTTTAGTAGTTATACTTTCAGTTTAGAGGTGAATATAAATTTAACTTTTGCAAGGACATAACCAAGTCAAAAATCTTAGTTTAAGTTATTATCCTTTTCAACACTATATGTAGTTGTTGGAAAATGCTGCAAACCTATATAAATTCCCTTTTAATACAAGTTTAACTTGTTTGACGGGAGTTTGAATAATTTCTGTCAACTACATTAAATATAGCTATAAATAATTTATTTGCAAGATTTTATGTGATTCGCAGCACTTTCCAAATATCTTAATGCTTCTTGAGTTTATGTGTAAAAACTTGGCAAGATACATTAAGAATATGCCCTTGCAATACATCGATTTATAAGGGCCCTTATTTTACTTTTCAGTGAAACTGCATACAAATACACAGCAGTATCCCTATTTGTGTTATATATGGACAGGATATATAATAAATACTAAAATAGACATCGCATCCAACATGTTATACCACGTTTTTATGTAGTATACAGCTAATCATAAGTTTTACATAGTACATTATTCCATTCTGTGGCATTTTGAAGACTATTAACTGTGCTGCGAGATCATATTACAACAATTTTAATTTTTTTTAATTTTCCAAAAAAATACTCAAAAAACCCAGTTATTGTACGCCACCTAACTCATGTATATTTTTATAAATTAAATTTAGTTTACTTAACATATGTTGCAGGCTGATAAAGGCATGCAGAAAACCACAGGCTGATAAAGGCATGTAGAAAACCACAGGCTGATAAAGGCATGTAGAAAACCACAGGCTGATAAAGAAATGTAGAAAACTACAGGCTGATAAAGGCATGTAGAAAACCACAGGCTGATAAAGGCATGTAGAAAACCACAGGCTGATAAAGGCATGTAGAAAACCACAGGCTGATAAAGGCATGTAGAAAACCACAGGCTGATAAAGGCATGTAGAAAACCACAGGCTGATAAAGGCATGTAGAAAACCACAGGCTGATAAAGGCATGAAGAAAACCACAGGCTGATAAAGGCATGTAGAAAACAACAAGCTGATAAAGGCTTGAGGAAAATTACAAGCTGTTAAAGGCATGTAAAAAAACAGGCTGATAAAGGCATGTAGAAAACCACAGGCTGATAAAGGCGTGTAGAAAACCACAGGCTGATAAAGGCAAGTAGAAAACCACAGGCTGATAAAGGCATGTAGAAAACCACAGGCTGATAAAGGCATGTAGAAAACCACAGGCTAATAAAGGCATTTAGAACCGGGAGAGTGGAGTGGAGGTTTGTGCTGTCTCCCAGTTAATTCTTTACCTAACTTTATTATTAATAAAATGTTTACTGAATGGTTCTCTTAATTTTTTAGTGTAGTATGTCAAAGTATAGTTTGTTATATAGTTATAATAAGGGTAATATAATACTGTATGAATAAAATTTGTTTCAAATAAAATAGATTCCTACCACCCCACCCCACCCCCCGCAAAAAGGTATTTTAGAGTTAGTTTGGGCCAGATTCCCCTTTTGGGGGATGTCAGAATTTTTCAGAAAAGGTTCGTTTCTCTTGCTGTTCCACTCCCTTTCTTTTGCTCTTCCATTCAAAATACTGCATGAAAAAAAGATGGAGGTATTTCTTAAGAGAAGCATAATCTTAGATGTATTATACTGCAAAACATGAACATCAAATATACCTATTTTTTAATTTTACAATCTTTATTACAATAAAACCTGTCTTATCCGACATACACAGGAACAGATTACAAATGTATGTGTCGGAATGGACAAGTATTGCTACGTGTAAAGATCATTGACACACAAAGGTAAGTAGTGCCCATATGTCGGATTAAACAAGTTCCATCGTAATAGGTTTAACAATAAAGCAATCTTCATCCTAATTATCCGTCCAAGCATCTTGTGTCAGTGTTTGTAAATAAGAACAAAATATTTCTAATTTCAAATTTATTACAACACACAAAGTACATCTTTTACTGAATACATTCGGTAGAACAAAAATACAATAATTTATTTCTTTGAAAAATAGTTCACGTCCTTTACTGAAAGCATTTTTGTTCATACGTTTTCTCACTTGATGTCAAACTTTTTTTTAAATGAAGAACTCCCTGATAAAGATAAATTTAAAACCGTCTCCTTTATCATAAATGATTTTTCTAATTGATATGTGATCCGTCATCTGTTGAAAATTAGAAAAAAAAGAATCAAAATAATGCATCACAGAATTAAAAGCATATATCTACATGTATATTTTTAAAATCTCTTATAACCATTAGAAATTTTCACAGAAATTCAAAAAGAAAAACCTGGTTATTAAAATTTAAGTAGGTTTACCTATTGGCGCCTGATCATCAGCCTGCCCCCCTTATAGACGTCCCACTCTCTACTGTAGGATACCCTGGGTATAACCAGATTACCGGGGACCATTGACCGTTAAGGAAGGTGTGGTGACAGTTGTTATACCACCACCCTCCTCTACGGTTATTGAGAGCAGTAGTTGCTCTTTCATCACTATTATTAAGATTTAATGGTGTTTACCTAGTGACGTTTTATCATCATCTTGGTCCCCCTCACTGATGTCTCAGTCATTACTGCGGGATACCATGGCCAGCCCCAGGACCTTGGGGACCAGGGACCGTTAAGTAAGGCGGAGTGACAGGAGCGGAACCACCAGCCTCCTCTAGTGTCAAAGGAAGCAGCACAGTGACCACCACTCCATCCGTCGTTATCATTGTCTGGGGTACTGAAGAACATCCCAGACAGATCGTAGTTATCAGGAGAACCAGTATCTAACATTCTGTCACCTGCAAAAATTAAAGAGAAGATACTAATTTATCATATGTACTATGAACACTTGCTTTTGTTTATTATGTGCTAATAATAGCGACAGTAGTTATTGGTCAGTATTTAAAGGTCGATACCTGTAGAACGGGTGAACAGGTATTCACTTTAATCACGATTTTAACTTATTCGATAGCTTTGCTTTGCGACATTTACACCAATCCACCCACCCTCTTACTCCATATCCTTCTTTCAACCTTTTTACTTGTATTTTATTTAATAAAGAAAGTAATTGTTTTCATTTAATGAAAATTATAAGTTTTTTACACAGATTAATTGTCAAAGATGGGAAATAATTTGCTTAGTCCCTCTAGATAATTTTATGTAAAATTTGATATAAATGTAAGATTGTTGTGTATATATTAGCTACATATAGTCGAAATGTGTTTATTCATTTTGATAGTTCTAATTTACATTCATTTTGCATAAGGTAATTTACATATAAAACTAGTCGATTAATTGTACATTATAATATATGATACGTAGGTAAGTTTGTGAGAATGAGTCCGTCATTCATTTTGTTTACCTCGCAATTGCTTCGGACTTACAGGTTTCCATAGTTGTTTTTCAACATAAATCCATGTTGTTTTTTTATCTTGGGCGGCGAGGGAAGCATAACTGTGTTCATAAATGCAATATATTACGTTTTTAATCAGTGAAATGAGGACATATAAAAGTATTGTGTTAAAATGCATTTTGTATTGCTATGTGTGATTAATTATATTTTTGATATATTGTAGAAGAAGGTAAAGAATCGTACCATTGAAGACTTGTTTTGTATATGTATACGTCTAATAAATATTGGCAAGCAAGTGCTTCCATCTCCTATGTAGACAAGTGTTCTTGTTTTGATTGTAAATAATTGATGTTCGTTTGAGTGAAACGAATTAGAACATAAAACACAGAAATAATGGATTCATACATCTTTAATCTAACTGTCTAGAATATTGTAGTTCATTTAAATAAATAAATAAAAATAAAGTTAGCCAAATTTATACATACAGCATTCTAAAACTTAATAATATTTTAATCAAAAGATTCTGATGATATACGTCATTTGTGCTTAAGAAATTAAGTTGAATACACTTACCTAGGGTCCCCGTGGCAGGTCCTGTAAGAAAGAGTTGATATTTTCCTGCTTCGTCGGAGACAGAGAATCCGCCGTACATTTCATACAAATTTGTACCATTAGGAAGAGTTATGGACACATACAGGGATGAAGTGTTTTCCTTTGTCAACTGGTGGATTACGTCATTTCCTGTATTAAGATTTATTGAAGTCAATCAAGTATTCACATGCTGCAATCACACAAACACATGAATTAAGCGAGTAAAATTTCAGAAAACCTCATTGAGTAAAAAAAATATTGGAAAAGAATATATCAAATATAACATACATTTTAAATATTTAGAACAGAATAGAATAGAGCCAGTTTAAAGAAAAACACTTTCTTTATTTCTTTATCGCTAGCATGTTTCTTCTTGGTGTTATTACATGTTCTTTAAATCATTTTCAATTGACATGAACTAAATCTGCTTAAGAAAATTTGTTGTGTTTTTAGGAAGTATATGAATTAAGTCACAATTTGTATATCCCTTTTAGATATATCAAATACACAGTTTATTATTTTAATATTTTAGTTGTTTCAACAATTGGTGAAGATCAAAATGTTTTACAGATATTCACCAGCACTCAGTCAAAAAATGTTACCCTGAACATAAATAAGTACGTATTAACTAGTTTTAAAATCAATCCTTCATTCGTAGATATTTTTAAAGTATTATTAAAATAGTGTTTGTGATCATTTTGAATAGGATCAAAAACCACTATTTACCAATCCAGACTTCCGTTTCCGGTGAACCAAACCCATTTTTGTAATCTGTCCAGTTCCTGTCAAAGGTCACAGATCCATCTATCCGTTTTTGAATTGCCTTGAAAAAATACATAATAGTTGGATTATTTTGAAAACTTAGATAAATCTGCATCAGAACTTGAAATGGGAACAAGTTTCAATTCTCTTACTTATCCCCTTTGTAAGACATTGAGTCACGTTACAGGCTGATACTAAATTCCAATCCCCAGATTAATTGATTGAATCTCAAACAAATAACTGGTTGATTCTAAACACCAATTTCCTAAGGAATATCAAATCTTAATCAATTCACACGTGTACTGTATACATTGTACACTTTTTATAAAACTATATTATTTAACAACAAACCGTCCATCCCCCTCCCATTGTAGTCAGGTCACAGAACACCTTGACAGGAATGGAGGGGATCCTAAAGGGATAGATGTCGTACACACCGCTATTAATGTGACCTTTATCAAGAAGATCCTGGCAGTCTGTAGCGAGAACTAAGACGAAAAAAAAATCGATGATTTTATAATGTTTATATGTTTCGCATTCTGTATATCACATAACGAGATAGAGGTACACAAACATATTTTGCAGAGAAATATCGAGATATTAAAATGAAAAAGACTCTTATTCTAAGCTTAAACAAAATTATTTCATTTGAATTGATCATAGACAAATATGAAAAAAAAAATCTTGAATGATATTTTTTCTCTTGATACTGCACACATTTTTTTTTTAATTCCAATTTGTTATTTTGTTGTATTGATTTTTCTTATCTCTTTTAAATCAGATACAAATAGAATTGGTTTTTATTAAAATATTTAACTGATTTCAGCTTATCTATTATCTTTTTTTTTTAATTCTGATCAAATGAGCATCCTTTTAGAAACTAAAACAAAAGGGATTGTTAAATCTTAAACAATGTTCTTTTAAAAAATCTGTATAATATTTGAAATGTTTGCTGAACAGTATTTAAACTAAATATACTGTGAACACTTAGTTTAATAAATAATATCGACACATTCCATATGATTATAATGATAAAGTCCATTTCTTGCTATGGGAGACACGCAAAAATTTTCAGATCAGAAAGTAAAATAAAAGGTGCTCAATGCCATCATGTAATAAAGAATACTTAAAAGTAGCAAAACGTTTTTTTTCAGTGGTATAAGAGGAGCTGCAGATAAGAGATTGATAACCTCAAATATCATAGAAAGAAAGGCATTGTCATTTTTTTTTATATAGGGAACCCAAAACATGTGATCAAAAAGTAAAGTAGAAGGTACACAAAAGTACTATGTAACAAAGATGCAGTGAAAGTTTCATTAAACTGCATTCAGCAATTTAAAAACAGTTGTGGATAAGAGATGAATGCCCCAAAGCGAATGGAGGCCTAAACTTCATCATAATTACATCCTAACAAACAGTCATATGATCGTCAGTGTTTGTGTGTCATAACTACAGCCTGACAACCAATCAAATAGTCGTTAGTGTTTTTCTGATATAACTGCTTTTCTACAGTCAATCAAATGACAGTCAACGTTTTTTTCTGACATGAGTATATATTCACAGAAGAAGAAAATAACATTTATAAGCACACAGAAGCTTATAAAAATTTATCACTTTTTGAATATCATTTTCCCGTATTAATTGAAAACTAACCTTTGGTAAATTTTAATAAGATCTGATCCTGTACCTCTGAAATTCGTTCAAACAAGAAAAAAATGAAAATATTTTTTGTTTTACATTCTCAATGTTATATATATATATATACTACTCAAAATTTGATAAGGATCACTAGGTTATATATGTGTAATTTACCACGAACGTAACAACAGACAAAAATTTCAGTCAAGAATGTGTTTACTCTGGTTATTAATGAGTTTCTATGAACAACATGAACTTTAACCAATAAGGAATGCATGAAATCTTATAACAACACCAAAAGGCATTTCATTACAAAAAGGTTAAATGTAAACCAGAGAAAAATTACAAAGCTTTTGGAGAAAGTCCATCATCCCAAATAGTTGATGTAGTGTCAATACTGAGAATGGCCTCCCCTTGCATCAATGACGGCTTGACAACGTCGAGCCATGCTGTCAATAAGCACCCGGATGTTTCCAATGGGAAGGTTGTTACACTCTTCAACTAGGGCGTTTTCCAGCTCTGCCAAAGTTGTTATTTGTGCTCTACGGCGTGAAAGGGCAACTTGCAGCATGTTCCATACATGCTCAATCGTATTCAAGTCCGGCGACCGCGCTGGCCAGTCCATACGGACAATTGTCTTCTGTTGAAGGTACTGCTCCACCACCCTGGCGCGAGGTGGACGGGCGTTATCATCCATCAGGGTTAACTCAGGGCCAACAGCACCGGCGTAGGGTCTAAAGTAAACATCCAGGATCTCATCCCGGTACCACACCCCCGTCATTGTTCCTCTCTCCAGGACATGCAGATCTCTTCTTCCATCCCTGCTGATTCCACCCCAGACTATGATGGAACCACCGCCATAACGGTCATGTTCACTGATTGTGGGTATCATGGAAACATTCACGTCGTCGTCGCCACACTCGGTGCCTCCTATCTTTAAAGTCCAAATAATACCTGGACTCATCGGTGAACAGAACTGGAACCCAATCTTTCTGTGTCCAAATGACATGGTCTTCAGCCCAGTCCAATCGCTCCCGCCGGTGTCGCACAGTCAGAGGGATTCGAACACATGCCCTTCTCGAATTGAGACCTGCAATGTGAATCCGATTCCGTATCGTCTGAGTCGAGACGTTTACCCCCGAGGCGTTCAGGAGGTCGTTACGCAGGCTGGTTGCTGTCCAGAAGGGGTGGCATCGTGCCTGAAGAGCCACAAAATGGTCTTTGTGTTGAGTTGTTTATTTCTGACGACCACCCCATGTCGGTGTGCTGCTGTACCAAACGTTTGCCGTCGGTTCCATGCTCTGTTTACAACTTTCTGGGTAACGTTTAGCGCATTTGCAATGTCACGTTGTGAATGACCAGCGTCAAGCATTCCAATACATCTACCTAGTTGTTTTGTAGTCAGGCGACGCCTTACACGATGAGGGGGCCATTGTGTTGATAAACGTAGTGTAAACACTCAGGTGAGACCTTTTAAATCTTACAAAGAATCACACCGCTGCCTGAGTGAAAATCGTGCAATTGTAGCAAAAGTATAAAATGTGACGCGAAACCATTTCCATGACATGAAATACACGTGCAAGTTTGTTAAAGACATTTTTTTGCATTTGGACAAAATATTGCCAGTTATACAATTATTGATTTTCTAAATACATAGAAAATTTAAATGATCCTTATCATATTTTGAGTATATACCTATTGCGTTTCTTCAAAGTTAATAATTTCAATAAATGATATGATAAGGAAAAAAAAGAAAACTGAAAAATAGATTGAGGAAACGCAAAGAAAATCACCATTTATGCATTATCTAATTCAAGTTATTCAACAGAAATATTTAAGAAAAAAAATATGGGGATATATAAATTTGCAGTAAATTGCATGTGCTTTGGGATAAATCTCAGCATTTGCTCTTAATTGTGCTTTGATTAAACATATTTATATAGTTTATATTCAAAATATTATTATTCAATGCACATGTGAACAAAACGCAAATTTATATACATGACTGTATAAAACGCAAATCTATATATTAAAAAATTCAATGCACCCCCTCAAAAAACCATTTACTTCATTTACCCAAACAATATATATAACAAGTTATACATACAATCATTAAAGAAAGATCTCCAGCCTTTCTCTTCTGATGTTGCCAACATGGTGAGATTCCTGTGGAGCCGACATTTCTTCAATACCTTATTATACACAAAGACCTCACAATCTCCCCTACATTTCTCAGCACAGTCTTTAAACGATAAAGCATACTCTCCTACAAGTTCGTCATCTGACTTTTTATCATCAAAGTCCACGTTTCTGACGTACCTCCGAGAAAACTTGGCATCGAGATACACCGTATAGTAGGCAGCAATACAAATTACAGCCAAGAGATTGCTCATGTTGTTTTCCGTGTATTACACCTGTTGTACCGTTTCTGTGAGGAAATTGCGAACAAATCTTCCATCTAGCGGGTATAAATATAAAAGCCTCAGTGCATTGCGTACCACTGATTGGCTGATTGTTACGTATTTTACTATCTCTGGAAGATCGATTTTAGAACAAGAATGACTGGATCTTTAATTGGTCTAGAGATGAAAATAATGGATTTTATATTTTAAAGATATTCTTTGATGGATTTGATCATATGTTAAATTATATCCTTTGCATATCATCTCGATGCCCGTCTTTCTGTACGTCCGTCTGTTAAGATTTGGGGAATCAATCTCTAATTCACAACAACTTTTATAACACTAAATGAAATGTCATGAAATTTCACAGAAGCTTGAAACATAGTACCGTTGTACACATCCAGTTTGTAGATCGTACAAGGATTGATTCAGAAGGTTGGAAAATTTTTATATATAACGTTTATCAAGTTTTGAATCTATTTTAAGTTTATGTTACGTACCCTTAATTGTAAAAGTGAAGAAAACGCATTAAGTGGTATACAAAATAAAAATCATGACCTCACATAAAACTCTGTAGGACTAAATGAGTTTTACTGGTAATATGTAGCTTTCAATGGATGATTTCTTGATTTGTTGTTAATGGTGACATTGTAAGACACTGTAAAAATTCAAGTTAAAAGTTTTTTCTAAAATCTCCGGAATGCCCGGTACTACAACACTGATTCAAACGAAATAGTATAATACTGATACCGACTAAAAAAAGTTATGTAAGCAATCGACTTTCCATTGGCGCGAGAATTGAAGTAAAAAAGAACCTCCATGAAGGTTTATAAAATGTGTCACCGTCTTTTGAAAGGTCATTTTTCCCAGTACACAAATTAACCGTTAATGGAAGAGAACCACCAGTGTACATTTGTTTAACATCTTTCTATAATTTAATTTCGGTTGAAAAGCTGTATTTGATTTGATCAAAAAATTACTTTATTTCGTATAAACGATTTATATCGTATAAGCGATAAATATGTCAGATTCACATACTGATGCTGAGTCGGGTCCCGATACATAATCACTCACAAAACATCACTGAGTAGTTCTTAACGCTATTACTGAAATATTTCTTCTATTGAATGGTTATTCAATGTAACTTAGAAATGTATGCTCTTATAACTTGAATTTCCTGCTTATTAACCAATCTTTAAAAAATAGTTTTCTTATTTTTGTCTTTTCTATTCATTTTATGTGTCACAAGTCTGCGTGGAAAATAAACACTATTCAATTAATACTTACTAAACAATGTGATTGTTTTTGTCGGACAAGTTTCTTGAAAAGCCATTACTTATAAACGTGATTTAGGATAAGTTTCCGTGGTGGAAGAAAGGCTGTGTCATTATCCTCTTGTATTTATGTTGAATTCTACTTCAAGATGCAGTCAAAACAATTTTAATAGTCGTTTGAGGAAACCTCGGATTAAAGCAATGATTCGAAACAGATTTGTAACGTAGTTTCCACGTGTTAAACCAACGAATTTTTTACATCCACATTGATCTTCAGGTAGAAGTCTCGTTCAATCAAACGCTCGGCTGACCTTCTAGAACCCGACTTGCTAAATGGCTGAGTATATGGAGAGAGCCGCCATTTTAGATCCGCTTCAGATTTTCAAATCTAGTGTGTTGATTGATCAATTCTAAAAGAAAATATTTATTTGGCCTTTCCAGGTCTTTATTAACAATAACAGCAATATTTTTATTTAGTCAAGTGATGTCAGATTCACATACTTAAGCAATTATACTTGCAGTATTGAGGTCATCAATAAATTCCAATATTGAAAGGAAATAACCAAGTAAAAAATCTTGTTTAATCAATGATTTTTAAACAGTTTATGTTCTGATAAAAGGTTGGTTTATCCGGAAAAACCAATGGAACCGAAACCGGAAGTGCCTTCCCTTCAATGTCAAACTGGAGGAGTGGAAATTATATGTAATTGAACATTATGTTACTATTGTCAGCAAGGCAATACACTTTCGATGAGCCTTCTTGTCATCTTAATCTACTCTAACCTACATGTATGGAAGAAGATATACGGGTTTGTGAGACAGCTTTTCCAAGCAGAACTAGAAGACGACTTAGTCACCACATGGAAACCCATTCAATAAAAGAATTTTTTTATTAAATAGGGTGAACTCTTTGAGGAATGGTTGTCTTGTTTTGAGTTCGTTTGAACCGAGGATAATGCAGTAGTTAACGTTGTGAATTTTTAATTCTAGGGTGTCTAAACGTTTCTGCAAATTGTGTTAAAAGTGTTTCAATGGAATAAATTAAGTTCGAAAAATTGTTTTGCTCCTTTTTTTTATCCTGTAGACTTATTAAATTATACTGTTAAATATATAATAAATATATTCAATATAAGATCGGTGTAACGTAAAAACTTACCTGGGGACTTAGAAATTTTGACTATATAGAAACATTACAAAGAAATGTTGATTCTCTGACTGGGGGGTTGATAAAAGAAAGTAACTATCAAAGAAAGAATTTGGAAATTGTTTGGGAAAAGTTTGATAGAAACATTGCTGAAGGTTACAACAACCTACATAACAGAACGTTGGAAACTGTTAAAAACGTATTCTCTCTCTATTACTCTCCTTCTGGTATTCTTTGTTTGATCTTCTTATAAGTATATTTTAATATTTATGTCATTTTTGCCATGCAGATTTACGATATTACAATGTTAGATTCCTATAAAATAGATAAAAGGTAATGTAAATTAACTAAATTTTGGATATCTTACTTAAACCTTAATTACAATTAAGATACTGGAGAGTTAATTAATGGGTTTTAGCAGAAGGAGGGTGGAATACAAGAATGGATTCCAGGAAATATATTAAAATCATAAGATATATTATTTGTCTTTTGTTACTCATCACTAAGATATTAACAATTGTGAAGGAAAAACTTAAAGAGTACTATGCGACTTTATATTCAAGAAATGGTGTGAATCAGATGTGGATCCTTACAAATTCCAAATAACCTTTGGACAATTTGAAATCACAAGATTTTCCTAAAATCAACAGCTAAAAAACTTACGACTTTTTAACTTTATGCACAACCATTCCGCACGAAAAATAAAAACCGCGCTCTTTGATATCATTTACAGCTGCTTTTTCAATGAAAATGGAACTCATAAATTTACTTACCTAGTCATTTGTCATTTGAAAAATTATTTTGTTAAAACAGATTCTGATTGCATACACAAGTACTCTGAAGTTGACATCAAGAAGATTCTTGAGCTTCTGATTGACAATATCTATGTGGTTTTTGGAGACCATGTCTTCCAACAATCTATCTGAATTTCTATTAGATTTCCATCCAGTTTATCCAATACTCAAGAGCATGCTCTACTTATGAAAAATTTCCAAAACGAGGTTAATTATTTACAAGCAAAGTTATAAAAGAATAATATCAACAGGCTTGATTAAGTTCAAAATTTTGTTAGTTCTTTGGTCGAAACAATGACCTTGTCAGCAAATACAATTTATCATTGAGTCAAATGCTGAAGGACGTTTTTCATACGAATTGTTAGTCCATTATTTATACCCTAATTTGACCACATATTTTTACGTTATTTTACGATCATGACAAAGAGCACACGGCAGGTGTGACCGGTCAGCAGGAGATGTACTCTTCTCCGTGGCGCCTTATCCCACGTCTGATGTCCATGTTTGCTCTGCTCCTATTTTGTATTGTTTTATGGACTTTGAAATTGAATACTGTTCGTTATCTCCATATCTTTCTTGAAATAGCTACACATTTTCATCCACAAATAATAATTCAACTGAAAATATAAAATACTTTTAATATTTGACAAAACAGCAATCAAATGCATTTATTCCTCACTGATGACATATTTGTATTATGATTTTTTAAAGGCTAAACAAGGTTATTTTTTTATATGTTTACCTTTTTGGCTACAAAAATTTCAAATACCTATTCATTGGAATGTCAATTACAAATTACAAATACGAGAGAGATATAGAAAAAAGAGAAAAAGAGAGAAAGAAAGTAATTAATAGAAATGAATATGCTAGTTTAATTCACTTTTTAGTCGTATGCATCTTCTGGGTCTTATTTTTTGTTCTCCTTTGTTTATCTCTGTGTAGATCATACACGTATATTTTAATGTGCCTTTGAAAAACAATTGCATTGTATGGCACAAGTTGGTAATCTCCTTTATTTACTAGGCGGTTATTTGCTAACTTAGCTAATACTATTTAATATCAATGTCTATATGGTCTTATTTAAATATAATGCTTTAGTACTGATGAGCTAAATATTCTTGAGGAGGTTTGATACATTTGCTTACTTAGATGTATAAATTCCTTTTAGTGTCATGTTAATAAATAATTATTGAAATTCGAATGATATAAACAAGTAATTTTCAATCTCAACACTTGGTATAACACATATTTTATAGACATTGATATTTGTTTGATCCCTGACATACAATTTTGCTAAATGGCCGATACTTATCTTATATTAATGCTGACTAATAACTCATCACTACATGTGTTAAACTTGAAGGAAATGGATTTGTTCACCAGAAGACATTTTTCTTTCAGCTGTTAAATAATTCAGAAGTGAAAAAGAATAAGATAGATTATCCAACCTTTATGTACTGATCCCAGTTGACAAAGCAGGTGATAACATTATCTGCCTTTGTAATAGTTCAATTGTATCTGAGTGTACACAATGCTCTTGTCAGCAAAGAGAATTTATTATTTCCTGGTAAGTGAAATACTGACTGTTGTTCTTCTTAGTAATTGTTAGGACGTAATTTTCATATCCAATGGGTTTTTTTTAATGCTTTTAATCATAAGAAGGAGCAAACGGATTGAGTGACTGGTCTGAAGGGAATGTTCACTCATTCCGTAGGTTACAAATGGAAATATTTGCAATTTTTTAAGATAAATATATATACTTTATCAGGATGGACTATTCTTTTTAGGACTTCACTGATATCTAAAATATTGTAATATTTTGTAATATAAAAAAT